GATGAGGGGAGACAGCCAGAAGTGTATTGAATAATAGCTAGTGAGCCCTATTGGCTGGAAGCCACCGGGCGTAATAAAAATGAATGAATGTTGACTGGGAAACGCGCTGACATAATCTGCACGGGTACAAGTGAAATATTATAGCCACGGGCACCCGTGGCCCTATTAGCCCCCCTTTATTGCGTATGGCGTATGATTAGAAAGCCTGGTGTGACGTAGTATTTAATCATACGCTTTTTGTCCGTGCGTGCCTCAAGGCAAATGTAAGGCAGCCTACGTTGAATAATTGTTACAAAATGGAACTTATTCTCGCGGTTCTAGGAATCCTTCTATGCTTAGATTCTTCTTGCCCTGCAAACAAGGGGCTGTTTCTCAACTGAAGTCTATGCGTACAGAAAGAACCTGCACGTAACGTGCAATCACGGACGCGGCATTACAATTATCCGGATCCGACCACCTGAGGTGCGGGGGGAAGTTGAAGGTCATAAACCTCATTTCTAATCATTCCATTCAGTGGCAGATCATTCCAGCCTGTGGCGGCGTACACGATATATCTATCACTCAAATGTGACATTATATATCCATGATGTCTCAGCAATACCGGTTCCCGGCTCTTGCACCTATGCCGAAGACATCGGCTCCTGGGTTTACAATATCGCACCCACTACCACCTAAGCGAATCTCAGTCCGAGTAGCTTGCCAGCGCTGCCGGGAGAAACGTATCAGAGTACGTCGAGTAGTATGTGTATCTACCCGTCTCGGTTTATGCTGACTTGAAACACGCATAGTGTGACGGGATTTATCCCTGTTCTCACTGTCGGAGGACAGGGCTGGACTGCATTCATCGCAAGAGTCAGACCCTATTAATAAGAGAGCTACTCGACGAAAATAAGCATCTGAAGAAAGTCAACGCCGAAAAGGAGAAACTTCTTCAGGCATTTGGTTTGAGCTATGACATTGAAGCATCAAAATCCCTTACTGAAAACCTTAAGAACACCAACAAATCACGGCAGAATGCATTACAGACCATCGAAAATCTACACCACGTGTTGGATGACCTCACGGGTGTTGAAAGAAATGAACTGTCACTTCCTGCGTTAGCTAATATAAGCGTCAAGCTCGCAACAGGCCCTAGTGCTGCCTATTGTACCCCTAACTCAACTCTTTTGCGACCTCCGAGAAGCACTATCCGGCAAGCCGAGGCAACTATGTTGCTTTCGTCACAGGGCATGCCAACTCCAACTTCTCTACCATTAGCTCCCACCACTACGGGTGTTGTCGAATCGGAGGCTGAGAGCTGCGCGAGTTTGCAGTCAGTCGGTGCAAGACAGCTATTTGCCTCTTTAGCTACCTGGGACTGCATACCTTTCTGCATTATTTGCCAGGCGCAATTTCTAGAAGCTTTCGATACAGGCTCTAGACAGTTCTGTTCACCAGCTTTATCGAATGCAGTACTTGCATTAGCGATTCGTGAACTTATTGAAACTGAGAATGAAACACAATCGACTGCAACAAATACTCTTGGGAGCAAGTACTTTTTTGACAAAGCTGTGAGAATCCTGCAACACAGCCCACATGCTAGTCAACTTCCAAACACGCAGGCTCTCGGCATACTCTCACTCTATCAACTTAGCTGTGGTCACGAAATAGCTGCCCTAGAACTTGCCCTATCATTGTTGTCCGGCATCACGAGACTTTGTGATCAACAATCTTTGGCAGAACGCGGAGATACTCAGTATGCGCTAGCGCGTATAACTACGTACAGTGGCGCTATGTTTCTTGTTCGGTGCGACATTCTAAATTGTTCCCATTAGTTCCCATCTATACTAATAATTTTGTATAGATTTCTCCGCTTAATACGTACGCGATCCGTCCAGCATCGCGATTTCCTGCGCACGAATCAGCTGTCGTCTTTGGTAATTTCAACTGATGAGTGGAATACTGCTCTTGCGTCAAGTGAGCGACAATCGGTTCCGGCAATGGCTAGGCGCTAACACTAGCAGGATTATCTACGGAAAAGCAATGCTGGGATCTATGTCAAATTCAGCTCGTTGCAGCGAAAATATTTCAACTTACAGAATGGGTCTATGGGTTCTTATCAAAACTGGCAATGATCCCCGCAGGCACTATTAAGAGTCATCTGGTCTCCATCTACAAAGATTGTCTTAATTGGTACGAAGACCTTTTCACTCTGTTAAAGGCAGAGGCGGTTAACACGCCAGCCTCGCTCCTCGTTCAGTAAGTAGCAGCGACTATCGGGGTAGTTAAGGAGGTTAATCTAATATTAACAGAATGCATTATCATTTCTGCATATTGGAGCTCTTCCGGCCATTTGTTGGCTTATGGCCAGGAGACAAGCTGCTTCAGCCAAATGTATCATGTGCTGAGTCTGCACAAGCTATATTATCACTTGCGCAGTCGTACGAACGCCTTTTTACTTTGCGACGTATTTCCGGATTTGCGCCATATTTTGTTTTGGCAGCCGGTCTCTACAGCAACATTACGATGGAGAGCAGCCCGCACGATTGCTTTTCGAATCTTGGATACGTGGATAACGCAATGCCAACCACCAGCCCGCACCCTTCCCAAAACGGGGCAATGTATGGACAATATAGGCTTTCCGACTTCCAACAACCCCTCCAAATGTCGGCCGCAGGCTCTGCGTTCAACCTCCTTCAGAAAATGCAGTCGCACAAGCTGGTAGTGCAAATGGCGAGGCTGGGTGGCCATCGATAGGTATGTCGATTCGTGTCCTCGATCAATATCGTATCGACCCATCAT